CCACATCTTTTGAACTTTTAAATAAAGTGTATTTTTTTCTCTCTGAACATCCCGTACAGCCATCCACAGAGCATTTTCTCGGCATTTTAGCGAATAATAAATGGATAATATAGTTGGTAAAATGTAATGTACATTAAATACTAAATGCTAATACCTAAGAGCCAGTGGCGTATTTACGGGGGGGGGGGGGTCCCCGGGTTTCGACCCCCCCAGAAAAAAATATAATATAATATAATTATTACATCATAACTCGTATGTGTTTTTTTTATATTATAAACTTGTAGGTACCTAATATTTCGCGGAAGTAATGCGAAAGCTGTTCCCGCGACGCCGTCGGTTCAAACTGAAAAAAAAAAAAAAAAAAAAGGTACCTAATATTAGGTATTAGGGGGGCCCCCACAAAAAATTTGAAAATACGCCACTGCTAAGAGCTAATAGGTGCGTATAAATCACGGACTAAGATAGAGTCACAATAGAGTTATCTTAGTTTATCTTAGTCCGTGGTATAAATGTATTAAACTATTGTACCTAATTTTATTATAAACAGAAATAATATGCAAATAAATATATGTGTAACAAATGCTAAATATTATCAATAGATAGAGCGACATTTGTCCATGTACTACAAGCGTTACACTATGGTTCCGGCTACCCGCACTCCTCCCGTCTATCGTTTCCAGTCCTGTTTATCTTAGTCCGTGACAATTATATAACGGGAAAAAAAACTACAAAATAATTGATCGGGTTTCGAACCCCCGACCCCCATCTTATATCGATGACGCTTTAACCCACTAGGCCACATGACCACTTATAGTCTTAGCGTTATTTTCACTCATTTAACTAGATAAATATAAAATATTATGTATAGTATACAAATTTATAACATAGTGTAATCATAATAATATCTTTCGGCACATAGTTAACATCAACCACCATAATTTACCGTTATAAGTATATACCTTTGTTGGTAATTTCTAAGAATTTTTAGTCCTTTGGCGGCATATACCCTTTTTGTCATTGGATTTGACCGATTTCTATATAGGCGGTTTTTTTTAAAGGATTATCGTTATATGGGTCATCCTTTGGCGGTATACACCGTCCTTTGGCGGCATATACCCTTTTTGTCATTGGATTTGACCGATTTCTATATAGGCGGGTTTTTTTTAAAGGATTATCGTTATATGGGTCATCCTTTGGCGGTATACACCGTCCTTTGGCGGCATATACCTTTCCTTTTATATAAGAAAGTAACTCTCTTTGCTTTTACCGTTATAAGTATATACCTTTGTTGGTAATTTCTAAGAATTTTTAGTCCTTTGGCGGCATATGCCCTTTTTGTCATTGGATTTGACCGATTTCTATATAGGCGGGTTTTTTTTTAAAGGATTATCGTTATATGGGTCATCCTTTGGCGGTATACACCGTCCTTTGGCGGCATATACCTTTCCTTTTATATAAGAAAGTAACTCTCTTTGCTTTTACCGTTATAAGTATATACCTTTGTTGGTAATTTCTAAGAATTTTTAGTCCTTTGGCGGCATATGCCCTTTTTGTCATTGAATTTGACCGATTTCTATATATTCGGGTTTTTTTTTAAAGGATTATCGTTATATGGGTCATCCTTTGGCGGTATACACCGTCCTTTGGCGGCATATACCTTTCCTTTTATATAAGAAAGTAACTCTCTTTGCTTTTACCGTTATATGTGTGTGCCGCTATTCTTTTTGTCATTGGTAATTTATTGAATGTGACCGATTTATATGGTGGATGCGGCTATTTCAAAGGATTATAGTCACCATATATGGTCAAAATCTCTGTTCACCCCCGCCATATTGCTTTTTTTCTACACGATCCCCACCATTACCACCACCCCTAAAAATCCCTTAGTGTCCATGGTAAGAAGAGACTCTTGATTTTCCGTTTAGTCCGTGTACTACCTTTAACCGTTGTTCACTTATATATTTACTCTCTCAGTCTTTAAAATATTTTTACAAGTGTTTAAATTTATTTTTCGGTGTTTAAAATATTTTTACAAGTGTTTAAATTTATTTTTCGGTGTTTAAAATATTTTTACAAGTGTTTAAATTTATTTTTCGGTTTTTAAATTTATTTTTCTGTGTTTAAAAATAAGTATGGCTGGACCAGTCGCAAATATGGCCAATATTTGGAAAAAACCTTTTAAATATACACCTCCGTCACCGCCAGCTGAACTCGTCGTGTCCACAAGTTACACAATTGACTTTACCAACCGTAAGTTTGTGCATATCGGTATTGACCCTACTGAAAATTTTCAAGTCGTCATCCATTTAATAACATCATCTCGCTATGTTAAAATTTCGCCGGATTTCCTTAAACGTATATTTACGCTGATGGGAAATATACTGTCTTTCATATTGGAACAACCCGAAAAATATAAGCGTACGTTATTTTTGGAAACGGAAATTAATAAGCTATCTAGTATGATGTACAGCGGTGAAAACGTACTAGTGATAGAATCGAAAAATCATGAAGGGTGTAGAATACTATTAAATCGATCGGACCTTATTCAACTTCAATACCTGGAATGGTGCATATTTGAAACAGTTACACGAAAATTGACCATCACGCGACCAGTCGTCTTAAGGCAGTTTAAGACTATTGGTAATTATATAGACCAGGAATTCACCAATGTGGAATCGCCGCCAAAAACAAACGAGGAAATGATCGTTTTTATCAAAAATTTAAGCGATGATAAAATTATTGGATCCGCTCCTAAAGAAGAAATTAATTTCATCAGTCAGCTCAAAATAATTGCAACTAATCAATTAGCCGAACATTGGGCGCGACGTTGGAACGGAGGAAATTCACCAGAGGTAAGTCTTAAATTCGCTCGTAAAAAATACAATACATATTTTTATTTTTTTTTATTTTTTTTTTTTTAGTTATTCATTGAACCCGGGGCATACTCGAGTATGTCTCCGTGCTATGATGAAGATGATTATTCACAGTCAAGGGTAATTTATAATTAAAATGTTTAAATATTAAATGTTATTAAATGTTATTATTGATAGGCAGCTGACGATGATAGGGCGATCAGAGAATGTTTAAAGGGGATTAACCCTACACAGGCGAACCCGAACACTAAGCCAAAGGTAATTTACACTTCATATAATTATTATTATTTAAATATTTAATACAAGTTTATTTTAGTCACAGAATGTAGAAATGGATCCTCCGATGTTACCACCGAGCATATTCGGCATTCACGAAGATCCCATTACATACGCGACACTCAGAGTCAGACCATCATATGTAATTTATATAATCATATTTATAAAAACATTATTTTATTATAAATTTTTTTTTCAGCCGCTAGATCATATTGACGGCCCACTTGACGACATTTCTAATCAACAATCGGCCGACGTAAACGATGGAAACGACGTAAACGACGGACCGGATTTTTTCGATCGAGACGTACATTCACAGTCTCAATTCACCACCCCCGCATCATGTGATCGAGCAACTTACCCTCTTCACCCCACGCCGTCACGTAAACTGAAACGAAGACTACCACAATCACCCGCAAGTCCACAACCATTCGATGTAAATGACGGTCCGGATTTTTTCAATCCAATAAGTACATCAACGCCGATTCAACCAACTTACACCCAACACCCAGCACCAGTACGCGATGTTAGACGAAGATTATTTTAATACTTGTAGGAAGTAAAATAATTTTTATGTAAAATAATTTTTGTGTAAAATAAAAAAACAAGCGTGATACTTAAAACAAGTTTTTTCATTTATTAGAAAATAAGGTACAAAATATTTACAAGGTATAAAATAATTACAAGGTATAAAATATTTACAAGGTATAAAAAAAAAATATTTACAAGGTATAAAAATAATTACAAGGTTTACAATTTTCTGACATCGCCACTAAACGGGTTATAAGTTATAATCTGGTCATGTAGTATTAAACAATATGCTGCAGTTTTTTCTGGAATAATTGTATCCGTTTCAAATTCAATACGTAGATCTATGGTCGACGACTTCACATTATCGTTTTGATGTGATAAATCAACTACGACAATTGGAACGTAGTTTTGAAAAATGTGTTTTGATAATAATGGCTCGCAATAATCTCGCTCATAATACGATTTTTGAAAGTCTGTATAGGCCTTATACAAAATACTAGTTGTATTATTTTTAAAATCTGCACGAAAGTCTTCGTACGGATACACTTCAGAATTTAAGTGGACCTTAAGGTTTTTTAGTTGACAGTGATCGAATCGCCCCGCATCGTTTTCAATATTTTTTTTTCGATCTGTTTGTAACCCAAACAGTACAAATCTCGGTTTTTCTAGCAGGCTACTAGACTTTACCGTCCACGAATGAGAATTATTTCTAGGAAGTATCGGATATTCGCACAGGTCCCAAGTTCTGAACGCACACGATAGTGTTCTATGTGAATCCATTACTTTTATCAGTCTTAATTTTTCTTTATCACTGACTTTGATAATAGGCATCTTCCAAGTTAGAGTGCCTTGATAGAGAGAGTGTGGCCATATGGACTGATAAGATATGATAAGAGATTTGGCCGCCATTAGTTTGCTAAACAATCAGTACAATATAATACAAAATAATGTGTTTTACAAATTTTCCTTTAAAAACTGTCACCTTTTTTTTCTCCAGGCTAATATGGCAACCTCAATAATTGAACATCTGTAAATTAAATATATATCTCAAAATTAAATCAATGTTTATAAAATATAAGTGAAGCAAAGCAGACACACAGCTAACAGACAAGTATAATTGTTAATAGCTCAGAGCTTATATATTTTAAAAACTTAGTACAAATTGTATCTTTTATATATTTAAAAATCAATACAAATTAAAAAAGCAAAATCTATATATGATAGTAAATAAGAATAAATATTAAAGTTAAAGCCATATCACTGTAAAATTGCCAAGCGTCAAATAAAAAATATTATATACAATACAGAAATAATTAAATATCAAGCATGGCAAGCAATAGACTTGCTTCCATATTTATTTAGAAGCTTAGTATTTTTTCTTCCTGCTATTTTCAAGCGAAATAGAATGAATCTTTTTATTATATGATTTTGTAATTTATGACAATTAGGGATGTGGGAAACTTCAACTTCTTTCACTTTACAAATTAAGAATTGTTTTATATCACAATTTTTATTTTTTATTATATTGTAATACTTCCTAAAAATTTGTTCCATTGCTAAAAAAAAGTTGAAGGTAAGTTCATTGCAGAAAAATAAGCATCCTTTTTTAAAGCGCTTAAGTTTTGTTAATTTAGAAAAAGAAGCATTAATACATTTACTGGAACCAACTGAAATTAGGCAATGTTCACATGTAGTTGTTTTTTTTTTAATACTAAATAATATGTAGCCACACACATTATAAAATGAATTTAGCTCACCATTACATAAGTTCATATTAGGCTCCTTTATTTCTTGTGGCAACTGAATGTTTTCAAATTTCTTATCTTCAGGATTAGAATCTTTTAAAGTATCTAAGAAACCGGATAAAAATGTTCTATCGTCTTCTTCATAATTTCCTTTTGATATATCTTTTAAATACTGGGATACAGACAATAATTTCAAATTGTTTTTTACTTGTAGAGCATTAGGTACTATGTTTTTTGTTCTCATTACACTAAATAAATTTTCGAGGCAGTCCTGTGTAAATCTTGATGTTAAAATAAAGTGAAATCCTTTTTCGTCTAAGTATATTTTTTGAATGTCTAAAATCGACGATGTTGCTAGTATTGAACCTTTTTGAGAAGGTTTCCATGTTCTTTTGTATCCTACTTCTATATCCATCATTATATCTATAAATCCTTTTAAAAATGTAATACTACTTTCATACATTTCAGGTTTCAGTTTACTTAATGCTAACACTGGATGTCTGGAAGTCATCAATGTAAACCATTTATCCACTATATCAATAAACCAAGCCGTTGTAATATATTCAGGTTTATTTAATTCTTCTGATAAGAACCGCAAGGCTGTACACACATCATGATTGATAATATTGGTTGACTTCCCAACCTTCATTTTTTGGAAATGATTAGGTACTAAATCTTGCTCAGATAGTTTTGGAACAAGTAAAAAATCTAATTTCTCTTGAAATTTTATAATATCTTCAATATGGCTTGAACAAATCATGTTAGTAGGAAGATTATATAGGTTTTTAATTTTATCACTTATATATAATATTTTATTAGTCATTAACATGTTCTTGATGTTTTTAAAAAGGTGAGGAACATCAGGAATTATATAAATTTTTCTATTATAATCAAGGGGATGAGGAAAACAGTTTGATATTTCACCATGTCGTCCAGCAGTAATGTTCAATTTTTTCCACAATTTTTGATTGCTAGACCCCATGTCTGATACAATACCTATAATTTTTAATCCTATTGATTCACTTATCGAAATTATATTTGCCACAATATCATGGTACACAGTGCCATCAATAGATTTTCCTGTGAAATAATAGGCCACTGTTTGCTTCCATCTTGTTGTAATGCCACCAAGCATAAATACTAAAACATTAGTAGCCGTGCCTTCATGTTTGGGTAATGTTACTTTTCCAATGTTTTGGTTTGTAGATACATCAAATAAATTAGCTGGGGTAATGGACATTTCGTCCATTATTAATACACATTCTTTTTCGTGTTCATCTTTGAACGTTTCAATTTTTATTTGTAAAAATTTAAAAACTTCATGTAGAATGCCAGTACCAAACTTTAAATTCTGAAGTCTTCTTCTTAATGTTCTTAGAGATGGTAGAGGAATATTTTGTTGGAGTAATTCTTCATACCCATTATTGCCACAACTAAATTTTAACTTTAATGCCTTCATCACAGTTGAGTTTGACCATTTCATAAATTTTGTGGAATTTCTATTTAATGCGTTAATCTGGTCAATATTAAAAACTGAATTTAACATTTGAGAGTTTTTTGTTTCATTACTTATTTTTAACTTATTTTTGATATATTTAAGTTCTTTTTCAAATCTATTTGCTTTAGTAACAGTTTTTTTGTACTGTTTTTCATACTCCAACAACTTTTTCTGCATACTTTCATACTTCATTTGCATCTGATTGGACTCCAAATTATTAACTAAACTCACATCTTGAATTGGTTGACTTGGATTTTGTAATTTTTCTTCTGACTCTGAGATTTGATTATTTAAAACAGATTTTACTTGCCTTTGTGCAGGGGGTTTTCTTTTAGTTTTTTGTTTTGTGAAACTAAATATATTTGGTACAGCATCATTTTTCAAACGTCGACTTCCATCTTCACGTTGTTTTTCCCACATATCTTCTCCAAAGTGAACCTAAGAGAGCCAATTAATAGTAAATGTTAATAACTAATAAGTACATATAAATTTAAAAATATTTGGAATTTTTTGCAGATAAAAATATTAAGGACAAATGCTAACTTACTTCACATAAACAAGAATAGTTAGTAGGAGACCAATCATCTCTTTTCATTTTGATTAACCACAACTTTCTCCTGACTTTGTCCTTAGGAAAATGTTTCATAAGAAATCCTTTTGTAGCAGAATTTGAACAATTGATTGCAGCACATCCAGGCATTTTCAATCCACAAACTTGTTAACTTTTACGTTTACAAACTATATTATTCAGTGTTAAATATTACATCAAAAATTGCAAGTATACAAAGTATATATTATATATAAGTAACTTGTTTAAAAAACTTTGTTTAAAGTGTTTAAACGCTTCAAAAATCCAACTTGGAATGCGGCTTTGCCGGCTTTTGCATTGAAATCAATACGAAAACACTGTTATCATAATACCGTTTAGCAAACTAATGGCGGCCAATCCATTCGGCCAATCATCTTTGAGATGGCGTATGGCCACACTCTCTCTATCAAGGCACTCTATTCCAAGTCACCTTAGTAAGTTCAACTTTAATTTTTTTATTTTTATCAACGGCTGCAGTCGCACCCGCACCAACAACGTGTATCGCATCAAGATCGCTAGATGCGCGATTTAAAATCAGTTGGTGATTACAATTAAGTAATATTTTTTTATAGTCTTCACAAAATCCGAATAAATGTTTTAGAGGTATACACCCGGTAAATACATCGTTGGACATAAAATTTTTATTATCTTCAGTATCCATTTGTGAATCCCAGGCCGCGTTTTCTAGTGCATTCAAGTCGTTTGGAGTATACGAACAGTATGCTTTCAAACAAGACGAAACTCCAGGTGATTTTAATTTCTGTATTTCTACTCCGTTTATTTCATATCGCATTTCAGAGAATAAAAATGCCAATCCATTATTTGAAAAACGTACGTCTCCAACAGCATCGGTAGGTTTGATCACTTTACCCTCGATGTAAATATAGCTTTCGCACGGTAAAGTGTACGAGTCCATATTCAAAACACTTATCCTGATTTCATCGTTATTTGATAAAGACATGTTTGAGTACGGAGTGAATGAATGATAATTCATTTGCGTTATTTTACACTCATCGACATAGTCGGCTGTGACGTCTAAATACGTGTCATCCATCATTGCAACGAACGGAGAAAATTTAAATTATTTTTAGTGAGCTTGGACTTGTTTTTTTTCAGTTTAGAAATAGTTTTTTTCGATTTTGACATAGATGTTGACTTCTTAACGGCAGGCGGTAAACTGACAGGTTTTTTGATTATACTGGTTTTTATATTAAATTTGAGCGCCATATCCACGCGTTATTTGTAAACGAACTGTTATCGGTTCACTGCGCAAATTTATCAGGCAATCGTTTTGGTCTTTTAGCACAATATTTACTCTGGTTACTGATCTCGTGTTGAGACCGTAGAAAACCAGTTGTCTAGGTACTTCAACGATTTTATACCCAGCAGGCACAGACGGATAAAGCTCGTGTATAGTCTGACTCGGTGCTCCGTCACAGAATGAGCCAGTAATTAAGTTGCACTCTACTTTTATACAGTTTATTTTCATGATGTTGACGATATTTTCAGACTCGTGAGTGGCACCAGTAGTGTATAGAACATTTCGAAAGCCTAGCAATTTCGCTATACTATTCTCGACACCCAAGCCACTTCATGACTACACGATATACTGCACTTTAATGTCTTGCTGTTTGCTTTTAACTCGAAAAAATTGACAAAATCAGGCATCATGTTTTGTATAATAGTCTCTAAATGAACCAATTCGTAAGTGCCTGTAGGTATAATTACGTTTTCATTTTCATTTAGAATATCACGAAACCCGATAGTATTACACCCAGGTTCGATGTTTGGTATCGAATTATTTGTCTGTAAGCTCAAAAGACATATTTGTGCTGTGCTTCCTACTTCCAACGGTGGAAAAATGTCACATGACAATTCACTCGAGTTCCCGTTCAATGTTATCGTGTACATGATAAAAATTTTAAGCACAAGTGCCCACAGTTTGTAGTATTATATTTCTGTTCTCTGCTATAATTGAAATTGATGTTACACCCGTGAAAATATTTTTGTACTTCTAATGGAGGTGGTAGATTTCCAAAACTGTCATAATATTGAACTTGATTTCCTATTTTTTTGTACGCTACCCAGTGAGTACCTGTACCGTGTTCAGAGTCCAAGTTAACAATCGCTGATTCTATTCGTTTACGACGTACGGGTAACCTGTCTCTAGTAAATACACCGATGAAATGAGGTATTTTCATTAAACGAGCGATTTTTATAAGTTCGTAATCGTACAGTGCTCTTCTGGGTAACGTAGATATTAGTTTTTTTTCGGTTTTGAACCCCCACCACTTTTAAATGGTGTAGCAGTAGACCCGATTTTGTACGAGTTGCCTTTATACGGTGTGAGATATAACCCTCCACCTAAATGCGATGGCGTGCTCCTTTTAAATTCATTAGCCAACTTAACAACGTTGGCAACACCACCAGTCAGTGCTCCAAGTGCTGACAAACCGGCAAAAATCGGTATGAGCGGCAACACCCCACCCTTTTTTGGAATTGATATAATCCTTGGAACTTCAGTTTTTCTTTTTTTGAATGTTTTTCGTGCGACGGTTAGACATTTTTTACTTAACTTCATCAGGTTCTTTTCACCGATATTTTTCTTTAAAGCGTTTTTAGCTGCTTTGATGGCTGCTTTAAACCCACATCCAGCCCCGATTTTACGTTTTGCTTTCATGGCGGTTGTCACGCCCCAAGCTACAGCTTTTTCTTTTAAATTTGAATCTTTAGCCTTAAACCTATCCCAGGCTCGCTGCTCTAATATATAATCGGCTTTGTTACGATCTGCGAAAGAATTACTATTTTCATACGCAATGTCGTGGTCTCTACAAGCAGAATCCAGAAGGTTTATACCTTTGTCACCATGAGCTATCCGTTTTTTTAAATTTGTACCAGGACCACAATATTGATAACCTAAACAGAGAAATATTATTATTATTATTACTAATATACGCATATTATTATGATCTCACCAGGTACGTGAAGTTCGATTGGTAATTTGTTTATAAGCGTGTTGATAAGACCAGCGCCTTTATTGTTGTTCCTTCTTCGAGCGAGTGACATCGTGTACTGATCAAGTTCACAGTATTACAGAGATATTTATTTAAAAATGAAATTCCTTAAACAAGATATACAACTCACAGTTGAAAACGTGGACCCACCTACTTCGTATAAAAAACAAAGACATGGGGTGCTCCTACCTAATACGATAAGATCACTTATCGTGGGACCTTCAGGTTGTGGGAAAACTAATTTAATATACACATTACTAACACACATAAACGGTATACGATTTCACAACGTTTACATATATTCAAAAACATTGGATCAACCAAAGTATAAATTATTGAGTGATATTTTATCAGACATTGCTGGAATACAATTATTCACGTTCTACGAAAACGAACATGTTATTGAACCTGAAAAAGCTTTACCAAACTCTGTGTTTATTTTCGACGATATTATTACTGAAAACCAAAAGATTGCAAGAACTTACTTTTCCAGAGGTCGGCATAATTTAATAGATGTTTTCTATTTAGCTCAGAGTTATTCAAAAGTACCTAAGCAACTTTTGCGCGACAACGCTAATTTTATTGTACTGTTTAAACAAGACGAGACAAATTTAAAACATGTTTACATGGAACATTGCTCTGGTGATATGTCATATCCAGAGTTTAAAGATTTTTGTACTTCATGCTGGCGTAAAGGGAGATTTGAGTTTATCGTCATAAACAAAGACAGTGAACGCGACAATGGGCGATATCGTCACGGATTCGATACGTTCGTCGTTATATAAACTAATGTTTTTACTAAAAACACTTCATTCGCAAATATGTCGTCTAACAACGAAGTACTCGGAGAATTAATCAAAGCCAAAGAAAATATTAAACGCAAGTATACTGCATTAAAACACGGAAAAGCTGATATTCATTCAATAGTAACAGAAACATTAAAACCAATTATCAATCCATTAAACGAGATTCAAAAGTCGACATCGCAACCTCAGGAGATAACTGTTCAAAATATCGAAAAAAATAATACAGAAAATTCCAGAGTTTTTAAAATAAACGAGTTGTTGGATTCGTACAGCATAGACAAAACATATGGTCCAAAATTGCAATCAAACGGAGACGCATATTTGGGTAAAAAAGAAATTAAACTTAACGGAAATACATTAATTATTGAAGATACATCATACCCGTTAACACAAGGACTTGTTAGTTTAATAATTTCGAAAACTCCGAAAATCTATACCGCAGACGATCTAAACACATATAAACGCATATTAATCCAAACATCGGCACATTTGACATCAGACGAGAAAAAAATTAAAAAAGGTGGAAATAAATTCATCGACATAATCAAACCATTGTTCCCGTCTGGTAGTGGGTTATCTGTGAAATTACAAAATAAAAGTTTAGTATACTGGAATGATCCTAATGAGTTAGTCGAACGTTTACGACTACTTTTAGCTTCTCAAGCTGCTGGTAATACAGGGCTTTCCAACGAAATACTTTCAATTTACGAAGAATTGTATGAAGCGGGTTTGATAAAACGAATTCCAAATGTCTAAACGTGATATCGCTCTCGAACTACACAAACCAGCAAGAAAAAATTATACGAGGCGTAGAGTTAATGTTTATGGTAAAAACGATCTATGGCAGACCGACTTAGTCGAAATGATCCCATACTCGAAAAAAAATAAAGGTTATAAATATATTTTATGCGTCATGGATTGTTTTACAAAATTTGCTTGGGCGACACCATTAAAGTCTAAAAGTGCTAAAGAAGTTTCGAATGCAATGTCTAAAATACTGCATAAACGCGCACCAAAACTATTGCAGCTCGATAATGGTAAAGAATTTTACAATACAACATTCAACGCGTTAATGAATAAACATAATATACACAAATATTCTACATATAGTACAACGAAAGCATGCATTATCGAACGTTTCAACCGCACATTGAAAGAAAAAATGTTTAGAGAGTTTACTGCACAAGGATCACACGAATGGGTTTCTATTTTACCTTCATTGATTAACGAATACAATAATTCAAAACATAGAACAATAGGTATGACACCTATACAAGCTGATGCAAATCCT